AGAGAAAGAGATTTATGGAAAAATGATGAGAGACGATTAAAGTTGATACAGAAATAGAAAAATACTGCTGAAATTGAGGATCTATTCTTATTTTATATTTTGAATATAGTTAATATAGTATCTTGGCCTTTCATTGATTTATTTATAGTTTCTTATTTATACTTTATTTATCAGATTCTATTCTTGCTCTCACTCCATATGCATCTCATTATATACTAAAGCTAATGAAAAATTGAATTTTGAACAAACGATGCATTTATAAGACAATAGAAATATATGTATTTTCCCTATGATTTAAATATAATACAAAGTGTGATATAAAATAATTAATATTAAATAAAAATTAAGGATTCGTGCAAATTATTTATCTAATATGTATTTCTCATTTACAATAATTTAAAGAAAAATATTAGAAATGAAAATTAATTTATTAATATATTTAATTTCAATTGTTAAAATAACAAATATATTAAAATTGGCAGTATTATGATGAGAAGAAAATTTTATCTAATATCCATTGATGAAAATGTATGAGGATTAAACGTGTAGAAACAATAAACCGTTAATGTTTAGGCCGTATAAAGAGAAACGTATTAATATGTATTAAGATAATAATAGAGGCATTAAAGAGTCATAGAATATACATTATAGAATAGAAATATTAGTAAATGAGTATTTATAGATAATCAGATTAAAAAAATGTTAATTTATCGGAAGCGCACAGGAAAATATATAAAAATTAATTTTAAAATATTTCAAATACATTAATATTAGCGTTTAATAGTATCAATTAATACATTGTTAAAATACAAATTCGACATAATATTAGAAGTTAATAAAGCATTGTAACATCGATATACCTATTCAAATATTTTCAACATTTTATTTAAATCTTATAATAATGATTATAACTTAAAAAATTCTAATTAAAAGTAATACTAGCTCTTGAATGAAAAAATAACTATTCGATTTTTGCTAAGATATATAAAAAAAGTATATTTTAAACACTTTCAAATGTTATTAAATAGAAGAAAAAAAATTGTAAAAAAGTTTGTAAATTATATAATCATAAAAAATTTATATAATTATTTTCATATTTATTTTACATGCAGAGTAAAAAAATTATTAAGCAATGATTAACTTGATATTTTCATAATAGCAACTACAGGCACGAACGTAATTAACTTTTATTAAGAAGAATAAATTGTGCACATGAAAATGATTCTTATGAGAGTGAATAATAGAATTTCCGTAATATAATAAAATATAACTCGATGTGATTATAAAACTTTGTTTTTTAATGAATAAAGTCATTAAAATAAATTATATATATATATATATATATATATATATATCGTATAGTGTTGTCCACTTGAAAAATATTTGAAATATCGACCTTGAGCAATGTTTACCAAATAAAAACTCGTTATGCGTAAATATGTGTGCGTACGTATATGCAGAATTATAATGCATGCATGTGTGTTTATTTAAAGTATGCGGGTCGAAACAGTTGGATGAAGTCGTAATTGATGAGTTGGCAAATGAAAATCCCCGCTATGATTTACACCATCAAATTTTATTTGTAAGAAATAGATGAATTATTGTTCGAAATATGTACAACAGGATTTTTTGTATAATTAATTCGATAAATTATTTTTATTGCTTATATTTTTCAAAATTTTCAAAACTTTACAAAACAAATACCTTACATTATGAGAGGGTATCATGTGTGTCCAAGCTTATTGTTTAGTTAAAATTTATTTACAATTTTACTTTAGTATAATATTATCGATTGAATCAATTAAACAAAATTCTAGATCTAATTATAATTTATCTCTGGTATAGTACTTTATATTATAAAACAAATTTTTTTTTCATAAAAATTCTTTTTTTACTTTTTCTTTCCAAAATGATTATCGGACTGTTTATAGATTGTTTGTTATCCGTTTTTCAGTTAGATATTTATAAATTTTTTAATAAATACTAAAAGTTATAAAATTGGAAGAAACTATATATATATCGAGGGGATACTATTTATATTTTACTAAATATAGATCATTCGAATTTAAGATTTCTTTGTTTTGTAATTTTATATGTAATATGGAAATAAGAATTTTGGATTTTATTCTTATTACAGCTAAATCCATAAATTCATTAGGTAACATTACCCGAATGTTTAAGAAATAACGATAAATTAACAAGAGGTTTTATAGGTATTCTTAAAATAAAAATAAACTACATGGATTAGTAATTATTCACTTATCATTGCACTGGAGTGACATTTATAAAGGGAATTGCATTTTTCTATATACATTTACGTATAGAGCATTGCACGAGTAATTTCGTAATGTACTAAATCTTTCGTATTATTATAGCGGTTCTAGAATAAACTACAACAGACTCGCGTCGCGAACCCGAACTTTCTACCGGAGAGCGCACATTTTACTATTTTTGATACTGTTTCTTTTGTTAGATGTAATTAGTAATTGAAGTTCGTTGACGCCGACGAAATAAATAGAGCGCGTGAAGGTCAAATTCAAAATCAACTTTAACAAGTTATTCACTTTTTTATCTGGCTATCGTATTTTCGTTCCAAGATGATTATAAAATGTAACCTTGGCCATCTTTACAGTAGCGAGATGTGTGGAAGTTTATCACCGCATAAAGTGCGTACAATTGAACCCTATTAAAATTCCACTAGGTGTGAATGTTAAAAGAAAGAAAGAAATTACCAGAAAGAATACCAGTATGAACTTTAATTAAAAATATCTTTCATAATTACCAAATTCTGTCAGCATTCATGGAAAGGACGATGTATATTTATAATACAGATTAAAAGATAAATTAAAAGATAAATTGATAGAATTTTTATATAAAGTTTAAATTACGCAAAACTACCTTTTCACATATATATATATGTGTGTGTGTGTGTGTGTGTGTGTGTGTGTGTTTGTTTGTATATGCACATGCATGGGAATAACAGTAGTGCATTGGTTGAAGGCGAGCGAAACTTCGTTACGGTAACTACCTACTTGCATTTTTATTCTTAGAGAGGTGCAATTCACGTAAAGTGTTACCTTTGTTCGTTCTCGTAAGACCTCTACCGGTGAGGAAAGGATGGAGATAAAGATAAGATGAATGAAGAAGGGAGAGCGTGACGAAGGAGTGCCAGAGAATAGTCCTCGGAATAGTTGTACAAAGGTAGATGTGACAGAACTTCAATTCGACTTTGTATACAATACTTTGCGTGTGAAAGCTATTAATGTATTTTCCATAAAGCCCATCGAATGTAGACCAATGCTTTGTATTTTCAATATATATATATATATATACGAAAATTTGAGTAGCGAATACTTAAATCGAAATTTGCTGGTTGAGAGATTTTGCTGGAATAACAATTAGAATGTGATGGGGATCTTGTAATTAACAAAGCAACACAGATATAAACGACTAGTTTTATAATAGACTATAAATCCTACAGACATTATAAATTTCTAATACTATATGTCCATAAAACTTGGGTCCATCTTAGCTAATATGGGAATAACACTTTAATTTTTAATTATTACACATTTATAGCTAAAGAAATGTAGTATTTGGATAATCGAAGAGTTTTTTTTTTTTTTAACATTATTGCGTTGAACATTGCAAGTACTAAATCTTAAAATAAAAGTTATTACATTGGATTTGGTTATATTGTTAGCAGAGAAGAAACTCGTGATCATAAACAGAGTGATAGTGGAAAAAATATGTACACTTTGTTTGAGATTTATTGTAGAATATTACACTAGCTGATATTGAAATTAATGTAATTAACTGTCCCTCGTAATAATAATTTTATAAAAATGTCTTTTCTTACAGATTAAAATTTTTAAAATAGTCGTCACTAGATGTAATTCAAACGAGGGTGGGATGATTATGTTAAATTATTTATGCAATTTTATACGAACAATAAACTCGAATACTGTTACGATTGAATTATAAAATATCATTTGTTTTTAAATTGATAACTATGTTATCATTATTATCAAGGTTAATTTGCTTATTATGGCGTAATTTAATATAGCATTCAACTGTTTTAAATTATCATTTGATTTAAATGCCACCGATATCATGAGAGAAGGTAGCGCAGAAATAAGAACATACATAATAATCAGTAATAAACTTTCCAAAAGTATTGTCGTGATAATACAGTAATTATGTATAATAGTTCCATTGAGCGTGTGATCGTATTTTATCTTTAAATTATTGCGATTATAAAAATAATTATTATTCACTATTTAGACAACCTTTACATTTAACATGACAACATTTACCTACACATATTAACGTATTAATACAAATACTGAAGTATTCATCAATAGTTTGGTAGAAAAATTATTAATCATATGAGACGTTAAATATGTTAAATTTACCTTATGTGATGTTATGTGAAATTGGGGAAATTTTATAAAATTCAAGATGTAATATGTTTCAATAGCTGATGTATAAGAATCTATAATATATAATAACGTTTACTCTTCTTCTTAAATTTTTTATTAAAAAATTCTATAAAAAACATCACTTGCTTTTTTAACATTAAAGTAATAATTTTGCAAAGATTCAGCTAAATGAAATTTGTTTATAACAATTTTGATCATTCAACTTTATTTATCATATTATTCAATATCTACGTACGATATTTATAATTTACGTTATAAAAGTAAATGAATTTAAGAAATTCGTTACGATATCTAATTGTTTTAATAAAAAATAATTCTTATACTTTTAAAAAATAAATTCTTATACTTATTCTTATACTTTAAAAAAAATAATAATACTTTTTGTTAAAAAGCAATGACTTAAATTTTATTGTTTTATTTTTTTTGTTCGTTTTATTAGAAATTTATTAACTAGAATATTTTAAGTTTAGCTACGTAAAGAAACAGTTAATACAACGAAATTTTATGTTTCGATTTAAGTTTATGTACATAAACTAAAAGAATTATTTTCAAATTTAGATATGGGAATTAGTGGACAGTAAAACTGGATATTTGACTAGAAGTGGCCTGTATAAGGGATTAGCGCTTGTGGCATTGGCTCAACAAGGAAAGCAACCCAGCGATAAATTATTGGAAAATACAGAATCTCAAGGTATTTACTCAGTATATAAAATTTTTAATATGTTCATGTGAATATTTATGAGTTGTCGATTTAAAAATATAATAAAGAAAAAAATACTCAATTTAATGTGTGTTGAAAGACATTGGTAGAGTAAGGATAGAGATAAGAAAAATGTACTGATCGTTATTTTCGATCAATTAGAATATATGAGTTATAGTAATAACTTCAACCCAAGATTCTTATGTTATTTATTATAATAAGAAGTACTATAAAATAAAATCACACTACAATCCTTACTTCAACTGGCGTTTAATTGTCTGTCCGCCGAGAGATTAAATTCATTTGATTCATTTTACGGAGAAAAAATTACAATTAGTTATACAATTTTCGTTAATTTTAAATGACCTCTAATATATTCAAATATAATTGTAATTTGTTCACCGTAAAAATAGCGGAAAGTTGAATTTAGAGAATAAATATTCCTTATAGTTAGTTAGAGTTGAGTGTTATTTATAAATTAAATTCATTTAGCTAGAATCATTGTCAATTCAAGGAATATGTTACTAATAAGATTCTAAGGAAATAGTTTTTAAAAAATAAGATTAAAAAAAATTATATTTCTATGTAGAAGCATGTATGCACATTAGGATATTCTATTCTCAGCAGAATACAGACATTACATACGTATTTACAATTTTTTTTTTTTTATACGCAAAACAATTGTCATAGTTTTTTTGTTTGTTTTCTTGTTGAACAGCTGATACAGAAAATCCATATTAATAAAATTAGATTTCATTTAATAAGCCAATGACTTTCTTTTTTTAGGCATTAAATTACTTAACTTTGATATTGTTATGTACATTGGTAAGTACCTAAAAGTTGATATCGTAAAAATAACTGAAAATTATAATAGTTACCATGGCATTTAAGTTTAGAATTAGTGGGACAACAAATTACACGCAATTTGAATTATATTCTTACTTTTGTCTCACCGCTATATTGATAAAAAATGTGCGATATGCTTAATCTTAATATTCCCATGATAAATTTAACATAATTAGTGGTGTAATTTTTGTGATATTCCGCGTGCGCGATAGCATTACATAGTAATTAAAGATAATAGTCTGAGGAGAGTGGCAGCTATCTAAACTCGCCAATCGTAAAGAGAGACATAAAAGCGGAAGTCGCGTAACAGGTGTACAATGCCGTCACTAGCTATTGCTTACGTTTAAGTTAATTTTCTTGGATGATTGGAATGAAAAGGAAGAGAGGAGAGAGTTAAGTCGAAAACTATTAAATCGTCGCAAACGTCCATTATATAACCCCATTTGATTACATTGAATTGTTTCATGGAATTCTTCGCAACATAGAGAAAATAGAAAGCGAAAGTGGTACAGAGTGTGCGTGTGCGTGTGTGTGCGCGTGCGCGTGTGCGTGTGTGGTGTAAGTGTCAGAGAGAGACGCGGGGGGTTGAAATAAATTCTTACATATTTCATAAGTATATGCAAGAGTATAAGACATATTTATACAATAAATGTGGCTTTTTAAATTTACGTTTCACGAATTATATATTATCGATCAAAAATACTTTATGTTAATTTTTTTTTTTTCCTTTTTTTTCCCTTTTTTTTAGAATTACCAGTACCGAAATTGGGTGACTTGTCTGAAGTTACGATTCTTGCACAGCGATTACAAAGGGGTTACAACCCTTCAAAACTGAATTTCACGTACTCCGACATTTGTAATTTAGACACGATCGAGGTGAATCTCGTTCCCGAAAAAAAGGGTATTTTTCTTAAACACGTTGAGTATCAGGTGACGAGTAAGGTAGGTCGATCAGTTTATTAACGTTTATTAAAATTTTATATTATAAATTAATTTCTCATTAGCATTATTTTCATTTTGTAGATCTATTTTTCATATTATAGAATATTGTAAAATATTAATTACTTATTTTATTGTAATATTTAATATTTGATTTTCAGAGGTTTAATTCTATGGTGTACAGGCGATACAATGATTTTGTTTCACTTCACGAACTACTTTTGGCTAGATTTCCATACAGGCTAATACCAAAATTACCACCAAAGAAAATTGTTGGAGGTAAATTAAAAACAAACAAAATTAATTAAACAAACATAATTTTTTAAGTATTATGTTTCATCATCGTTCTTGCTTTAATACTGATTTTTAAAGCAATTTTCTTATGTATTTTTGAAAATCTAATCTATTGATAACCGATACATTTATATAGCTAATAATTCATTCGTCCACATAATAAATCAAAACATGAATTGAATTCGATAAATTAATGTAAGAGAATTAAATCTGATAAATTTAATAAGTCATATAGTTATAATTAACAGTAATAATCTTAATAAATGTATGAAGTACTGCTGATCGAATATTATAGAATTTATTAAGTCATACGTACCAATTAATGTGGAATTCCATTATTAGTATTGGCATATGCAATTCAATGAAAATATTTTAGTTTTTGCGTGAAAACGCATGAGAGTTACAACGAGCAATTATTAGCACATGATATTATGGCGCGTGCGACGAGGGTCTTGTTAGGGTCAAAGTTCTCGAATGAATCGTATTAAAGGTATTCTCATCCACAGCTGACTCCCAGTTTCTTGAAGAGCGAAGGCGTTCTCTGTTACGCTTCCTGACACTGATAGCTCGACATCCGGTTGTGGGTCAAGACCCGATCGTCCAGTTTTTCTTCACATACACGGGCGAGGAGACGCAGCACAAGATACGCGAGGCTTTCCGCCGTATGCCCGACGAGTTCGCCACCTCGGAGCTGTCGAGTTGCGCCAAGGAGCTCGTACCCCCGGAGACCCTTACCAAGTTCGGTAATGCCAGGGACCAAATAAGAGTCATACTCCTCGGTATCTCCAGACTCAAGAACATTGCCGACTGTCTGGCAATAAGGTCCCACAGCTACGCGATCGACATGGCGGAATTGGGATCGCAGCTCAACAGCTTGGCTAATGAATCGCATGTCACGAGCTCGTGGGCGACCGGTGGCTCTACTATTTGGCAGGATATGAAAAAGGGCTTTCACATTATTTCCAAGTAAGTTACACGAGGCTTTGCTTAATAAAGCGAATTATCCACGAATGAGATATTAATTAGATAAGATTGTCGGAAAACATTATCAATGATATGGTTTTATCAATGCATTTGGTTACGAAATCAATCAATAATTTAACACTTAAGCTTCTATTTCTTACCTAGATCCGATAGAATATGCTTTTTCAAATTAATATTAAAATTTTCAAAGTGAATTACTCTCTCAAGCTTTTAAAAGTAACAAATAAATATAAATATAGATTATTCCATTTTATTAAAATAAACTTATTGCTACTCTGCAATAACTATTACGCAGTACAAAATTACATTATCATATATTATAATTTAACTAAGTTATCTATGCATTTCATTAATTTTCACATAAGTAATATAATTAAAATAAAATAATCGATAATGCACGGAAAATAATAACAATTCTTTTCACAATAGACATTAATGAAAGTAATTGTAAATTTGATTTCACAAATTCTCATTATAAGCTTCATTTTATATTCACTTATATGAATTTTTACTGTTACGTAAGTCCATTCAAATTTTCAACTACCCTGTATTTTTAATTCCCATAACCCATGAAATAACCGACATCATAATTAATAATCTAACGATTCATCTAACGCCTCATCAACTTTAGTACGTAAAAACTTACCTTCCAATTCATTGACTAGCGATGATGACCTTAGGAATAGAAAAGATATTGGTTATTGACTGTTGGTATATACCGTTCGTTCTCTTAGGGAATTCGGCTTGTTGTCAACGAGAGCTCTGCAGCAGACAGTCAGAGAGGAGACAACAGTATGCGAGCAGCTGAATCTCCTGCTGGATCTTCTGATAGCGCATAGAACATTATGTGAGAGGCACGAGCGCGGTGTCAGTGTTGACCATCAGCGTGCCTTATCCACCATGTTAGTTCTGAAAAAGCGGCAAATGCAAGGGGTTATTCGGGGCACCGATGTAAGTATAATGGTATCAAGTAATTGGCCAAAATGTTAAGTTTATTTACATTCACGGGGTGGGGGGTGGCGGGGGGATGGTGGCGTTAAGTAAAGTTAATAGTTGTAATTTGGGGACTGGAAAACATTTAGACTATGTATTTGTTTTATGGGTACTTGCGCAGATTAATATGTATTTAGATGCAAATGAGTTGTTAAAAATATTTGTTTATTGTATTATAAAGCTAATGTAACTTATTACCATTATTGAACAGGCGATGCATTGAAACCATTTCTTCAAATTTCTTATCATAAAGTCTTTTGCTTAATATATATATATATATATATATATATATATATATATATATATATATATATATAAGAAATTTGAAGGAATAGTTTCAATACATCACAATTAATCATAATTTTTTGGATTAATCAATTAAAAATGAGTTAATTAATTGTAAATAATTAATAATTAGTTTTTTTAAATTCGTGTGATATTTTTTATATTAAAATTCAACTATCACATTAAAGCCAGAAATTTAACGATATACTTTCAGAATTTGTCGACTCTATAAGTCATCCAATATATATTTTATTAAGAAATAAATTTCTTTGCCTTTTTCAATTTTTCTAATAAGCCCTATTCGACGCTGATTTAAAAGGTGACTTTCATTTATTTTCATTTCGCGCAATGAGTGGAAACCGCCATTTCCCTATAAACTTTATAAAGCAAGTGTTCTCGGTATTGTAATCAACGAAGCTAAAATGATTGAAAATCGTACAATATCGTACAATTTAGATGGCATTTTATAATATTTAATTTTAAACTGTTTTTCACATTGACATTTTTTTGAATATCTCATTTACATTCTTCTACTTTCGCTGTTTCATGTAAATAATATTTAATATAGAAATTATTATGGTAACATTCTCATTGCATTATTCACAAGTAATTGTTATTCATACAAACAATATACAAGCTCTTATATAAACAATTTATCAAATAATTATACTAGATAGTATTTTCTCCATTAATATCCCAATCATGACAGCATATCAAGTATAATTAAAACATGAACTCGCGTTATAGAATGTTATATCGATGATATTCATAATAATTGAATAAGAATCGATTAATTATTAACGAATTATGTTCGATTATAACATTTTTCATTAATTTTTCACTTAAAAGTTCACATTTATTGTCGAAAACTTTAAAATTAAAACGAATTTAAGATTAAAACTTCAGTCAAATAATAAAAATAATAAAAATTAGCATAGCTTAAATTTAAAGTAAATGTTTAAATTACATTAAATTAATACTCTAATTTTAACTGTCGTTCTACTTTATTGCAGGCAGATACGGTAGAGCATTTGGAAAATAGGATGGTTGCTCAAGAGTCCGTTATTGCCAATGTCGAACTAAGGAACCAATTTTCACTTCATTGCCTACACATGGAAACTCAATTAGTGCATGCACACTTAGAAATTTTAGCTACAGTTTTACAAAATCTTGTTAATGTTCAGATACGTGGTCATTCAGAGGTGACAATATTTAATTTACATTTTTATTTGACAATTATTATGATTATAACAAAAAAGGGACTAAAAATATTTGAAAAATTAAAATTGACAAATATTTAAATATATTTCTTAAGACTCACTTCTCAACCAAGTGAATCTTCCAATTAATAAATTAATAATACATAACAAACGTTATTTAATATTAATTAATAAATGTTTAAACAATGTTATTTTTATAATGTTTTTTTTTATTATTGTTCATGAAATACGATAGAAGAGATTATTTAGAATTTCTTTAATATCAAATGAATTTCTATAATATAACGTATTTAGAGTTTCTTAAAAAATATATTTTTATTTGTAATAATTGAATCGATCCTTCTTCCAGTTGGCCGAAGTTTGGAAATCCATTGAACCGACCATCATGAAATGCTTGCCAGAAAAAACATCCAGCTCAAATGGTGTATCGTAAAGAAAGGAAAATTATTATCCTGCCTTAATTATTGCTTTAAGGATGAAAGAAAAAGTTCATATAATATTCGTTAGTTATATTTGATAATAATAGAATATTTTTCCATAAAAACACATTCAAGTTAATCAGAAAATATTATATTGATATATATATATATATATATATATATATATATATATATATATATTCTATTTTGTAAGAAAATAATTCACCAAATTTGAATTTTTAATAATTTTTTTATGAAGATAAAGCCATCGACTTGAATATTAAATTAGTTCTCAGATAATTGAAAGCCTATTGGTATTAGAATAATGAATTTGATTTAAACACAAATTAATAAAAAAGTGCCTTAAAAATCTTAATGTACATATATATCTTGTAATTGGATATACGCATATACACATAAAATTGATATAAAAGTGTGTTAATTAGCAGAATTATTAGAAATTCGTGCAATAATAATAATACAACGATTTATGCCAAGTGTAGCATAAATAATTATTTTCAACGATACAACATTCTTAAACATTCCTCAAGTACTTAATTATCAAATATTGAGTTTATAATTTAAAAGAATAAAAATTAATTGAAGTATCTTTTATATAATTTAGAAATTAAAAGATAATATATATTATAATGTAATATTATTATAAATAAAAACAAGAAATCTTATGTATATAATTATTTTAAGGGGTTGGAAAGAATATTTAGTAAATTTTCTTTAAATAAATTATTAATATTTAAAGACATTGTGGATTATAAAAAGCTATCGCTAAGAATAATTATTTTATAGTAACAATTAGTATTTAAAAATGGTTCACTTAAAACAATGAAAACATATTTAATGAATTTATGGAAATTTTTTATTTTTATGCTGTTTTTTTTTGTAATTCAATTACACTATTATAAATTTGATAAAAATTTGTTATTTTCGCATTAAAAAGGAATTATTTTTTTCTAACAAAATTTTAACGGAAAATCTTGTATTTAAAAATTAGAGTTTCACTGCAACAGAAGATATATAATTTCAGATTAATTGGTCAAATGGTTTTAGCATAATTTTGGTTACCAACATTTAAAATAAAATTTTCTAAAATACAGATTGAAAATAAGAAATTATGTTTATGTATAAATAAATTATTTTCAAATTGACATGGAAATATACATGTTATGTATGTATAGTGAGGTTTGTCCTTCTTAACCACATCTAAGATATTAATTCATTCTAATTTTGAATTGTTATTTCCACCAGACTAATGTTTTCTTTATAATTATCGTAAATATATTTTTTCTACAATTCCTTTAAATGCCTTTAAATATATAAAATTCCGTTGTCCTGTAATTTAAATATACAAGCCGACAAATATCGGCCTCGTTATACTACAAATATACTTCGCATTCAGTTTTGTGACGTCACTTTTTAGTGAAGCAAATATATTTTGAATTAAATGGAATTCTATTGAGGTATACCACAATTATACATAAAAATTTTTTTAAAAATGAATATTTCTTTTTTCTAAAGTTTGCTAACCCCTTAATTTTTCATTTATTGTAAACCATTTTTTATTTATAATGATAATAATAGTGACGTTGACAGTTATTTTTATGAAATATTGAATATTATTGGAAACGTAGAATATAATTGAATAATATTAAAATTGTAAATAATTGTATTTGAATAGTTCAGAAGCTAATGTTTATGATAAAGTATAGAAATATAATTTTTATAAAATAAATAAAAATATATTTTCATAGTGATTATAGGGTAAAATTACATAATATAATATTGTAAATAGTTATTTATATTAAATTTTTAATAATCGTTTTTTATTATGATTTTATATTATTAAATAAATATATTGTCATTATTTTTACTAATTGAATTTTGGGATTCGAAAATTAATCACCTTATAAATATGAGAACTCCATTTTCCTTATTTTATTGAAATTTGATCAGTAATTTTGTTATAATATACATGCCAAGATTTTGATTTTGGTTTTCTTTAATATCCCTTTACAAATTTATTTTGTTTAATACTTATATGTTATATCCTTTATATTTACCATATTTTAATCCATTTACCCTTCACTCCAAATCTATTACTATTTAGTGTTAATTGGAATTTATTCTCAATAGTCCATATTTTATATGAAAAAAAAAAAACAATGAATTATATATATTTTTTAATTTTATTTTTTGTATAATATTGTATAATATATGTTTGTAGAATCTAAGTTGACATAAGATTTTTGTATGTTTAAATATATTTAAGTTTCTGCACAATAATGAGTATTTCAGAAAGAGAATTTTCGTATAAGATTCTTGTAGCGTATTGAGCATTTGATTTTAATCAGATAAAATTTGAGCATGTGATATTCATTGATTAACATAACATTATTAATAATAAGCAATATTTAATGACATCTTATGCACAAGGAAAATGTTTGTTAAATATTAAATAAAGTAGTACATTACTTGAAAATGATTACTTTTTCTGTTTATTTGCTAACTTATTATGATATTCTTATTTTCTTAATCCTATTTTATTGTAATGAATTATGAACTATTGTTTTTGTGGTCATCCTATTATTTAAATTCAATGAAATTTGTTAATAATAATCAATTATTTAGTTTAGTTTCGTGAAGGTTTAGGATTAAGATAATTTATTAGAATTATTACAATAAAGAAAAATATCATACGTTAACTATGCGGTGAAAGTTAAATCGCTTTAAGTAAATAATATTTGCGCGTTTCCTTGATATATATATATATATATATATATATATATATATATATATATATATATATATATATATATATATAATAGTATTTAATATAAAATTGAATCCTTTGATGATTATAATAAATCAAGAATATATTAATAATAGCGAAAAGTATTTTTAAGATAGCATTGTATTTATAAAAATATTTTCTAATTTCTATGAATTGCGTTTCTAGCTGACTAATATTACGTTATATAAATCGGCAGGATTTCGATAATAATTTAATATATCGAGACTTAATGATCAAATTGATAATTTTTTAATCAGAATATTTTTATACCAATCCCTAATTCAGCCATCATCTCTTACCATAAATTAAATTAATTCTATAGTAATGAAAATAACGTCCACATTTTACTAATAAATTAAGATTAATAATTATTTTAATAATTTGCTAATTTTTGTATTAGTATTTTCAAGAACTAATATAAGGAATAAGTAATAAAATTTAATAATAAAATTTATAAAATACGTATCTGATATTTGGTTGTTCTAGCAGGAAACATCATCAATAGAAGTAAACATGAATTTATTCCAATATTTTAATAGTTGATACTATAGATTGTTGGTTGCTGTATATTTATTTTGAGTTATTTACTTTATGTATTATGACCTAATTTTATTAATGTATTTAATGTAATTAAAATTGTGCAAAATATAAAAATACGTTATTTTGAAGTATACTTATAAATAGATTTATGTGAACCGAAGAAAACATATCGTGCAGACTTAATATTATTCTTAAGACTTTCCTACAGTTATACTTAATTTTAATCTAAACTCTTTTGAGCGAAATTATTTTAATAATGAGTAATAGCTCTGATAATGTCAAATACAGCAATTCAAATTAAATTCGTTCTATTAAATTAATTTCTTACAGTTATTATGGAATTTTTATTTTATTAAAATATTCACATAAGCTGGCATAAAATAAAAAATGTATAAAGCAATATCAGTATGTAAAAAATTAATTTTTTATTTCATTATTGTCCATTATATAGGAATACATCAAAGGCATAAAATAGTATATCAAATTTATCATGATTTTTATGGAAATTAAAATTCGTTATAATAAATCTTCCCATTTCAATTACTATATCCGAAGACCTAAAATATAATATGTATTGAGCCTATTTTTATATCTCTTATCGACTTATATAAGATCTAATCATTTTATAATATGCCTCTACTCATCAGTACTTTTATTATTCTTCATCCTTAACTTTATCAAATAGTGACAGTTTACGTAATAAATATTAATTTATTACATTTTATAATTATTATTGGTTAAAGTTACCAATTACATATCATCTATGGAATTCTTAATGATAGTAGCTTATAACAATAGTAATTTCAATGTCATACAACAATGTTTAGTAAAATTATAAGGTTGTTCATGATATAATAATTAGTATGTCACTAGTAGTTATTTAATTCATTTAGATTAAATATTTAAAAATTTACTGCACCGTTGTTTCTGCTCTTATGTAATAGAACCCAAAGTATAGTGAATATTTTACACAAGCTTTCATAAATTATGAAAATTTCATAAAATATAAATATATAATGGTTCACATGACCGATGGTAAAATACAGAAATTAAAATTAAAATTTCTTATTCTTAAAATGTGAATTTTCACGATTCTTTGTATAAATGACTTTTTTTTATTATTATTTTATATTTTTTATTATTTTTCATTTATTATTTCATTTACATTTACGTTGGTTGTATCTAAATTATGCGATTCGGCAAAACTTTATCGTTCACATTTCTAAGCACTTAACCAACAAACGTACTGATGAACAAACGGCTGTCGACAATCTTTTAAAATATAACCGAGGAGTATAAATAGTAAGGTGGACTAAATAAAAGATTTTATTCGATAGAGAAAATATCATAATATAATATAAGTATGATAATAATATTATATTAATAATGGGCATTAAGGAAAGCGTTTAGAATAATTTGCTGTTATTTTATAATAAAAGAGAATCAGTTATAGATTGTACAACAGCTCGTTTCCAAATAATTTAATAATTAATTTGATAGTTGTATGTTTGGTCCATCTTCACTTAAATGAAATGTTTCACTATGCAATAGTAGAATGTATTATGTTTCATAAAGAATTATATTCTCATATATATTACTCACATATATTTCTTCATACATTTTCTGTAATTAAATTACAAGAATTAATAACTTTTTTGGTAGAAATAAAAAAAGTTTTATTTTTAAATTATTTTTACATTCTTGTAATGTTATACTATTATATATT